TATTTTTAATTGGCGAAAGTCATTTGTTGATTTTTTGATTTTTATCCTGAAATTGAACCTCTAACCCCTTCTTTGCAAACACTTAAGTGCTGACTTCATGTCACTAGACCACAAGATTATAGGCCTTTATATACAACATATTTTTTGTATAAAATTTTTATACACAATGATGTGTTTTCTTATGGTCTCTTCATTTCCAATCCAAACAATTAATCTTGTTCTTATAATTTCAACATTGCTATAAATATATCATTTAAAATATATTTTCTGTGTAATATTCTTTGTTATATAGCTCATAAACTAGTATTTGGTGGGGGCACAAAATATGTAACCAATGTTTAAGAAAGTAAAGCAAGTTGCAAAGACAAAACCCTCCTCCCAACATATGACAATAATAGGACAAATGGGAGTCATTATCAGAGCCACATGGGTTGGTCTCATGATAATAGTGTGTAGCAAACACATAACCCACCCATTATGTAGTCTTCTTCTCCTTTCTTTTTTAACTTTTTCTTTTTGTTTATTTTAAGATTTCAAACACCATGGAATCTATGCTGTAATGGCTTTGTTATTTTAATCGACAAATTTGTTTTTGTTTTAATTTTAAGTGCAGTGTAGGCCACCTTTCAAATGTTTTACAATCGTTCATTTTGAATATTAAATGGAGTTCACAAGTTAGCTTTAGCATAACCATTTAAAAAATTTTAAAATTAAAAAGACGATTTGATGTATTTGTCACTTTTGATGGTGATGGGTTTTTGGAGTTTTTAGAGAAAAGAACACAGTTAACATGATTGCAGTGGAGTTCCTAACCTAGACATATTTCCTTTTTGCTTCAACTTTGCTGCCAAGTGCATTGCATTATTATTGTCCTCCTTAACTTTTTTTAGGCACAATTTAGTATTTGGAGCAGTAATACTATCTACTCAAATTTTTTATTTAAAAATATTAATACGTAATTCAGATTTATTGTACACATCGACCTCATAATATACCCATTCAATCTTCATTATAAATCTAAATTTCAAGTAAAAATCTAAACCAAATTTCTCGATTCTTATACTAGCAGTGTAGTACCAAACAAGAATGTTGACTCAGTGGCCTCTATGGTCATATAAATGTGCACAAAAAAATGAATATGTGATCTAAATTTGTCCTGGGTGTGCTAGGGATCACACTCAAAATGAATCTAAGTTCATATTAATTTTTTGAACAAATTACACGTGCAATCTCTGTAATTTATTTTTTGTGTTAATTTTTTATAATTTTAATTGTATCAATTTTAATTTTGATTTTTCATATTGTGTTATTGTAGCCCAATTAATAACGTTCCTTTAGAAATTTGACTTGAAATTAAGGAAAAAAATAGTTTGTTCACTCTCCTCAAAGTGATTGAACAACTGGTGTGCAATTGAAATAGATTGATCATTATGTTCTTAATTTCTATTCAATGTTTAATAAATATTATCAGTTGTACTAGAACTATTATGGAGAACAATGGTAGAATTTGCCTTCAAACTTTTATTTTTATTTTTTTGTGTGCACATTTTTATGCCTTTTATTTTCTGTACTATTTTCAATAGTTCATATGACTAGGAAAGAGCAAAAATAAATGTTATTTGTCATTCTAAACGTGTCCAGAAAATTGTGGAGATTTGGAAGTTTTCGAAGGTGAGAAGGGAAGTACATCCTGTTTATATGGCATTGGCATTTATTGTAGCTTCTATAAAGTCTTGCTTGTTCAACCATGATCGAGTAGTTACACCTTAGGTTGTAAAAAGTGAGAGGTTAAAAGTTCAAATTGATGGAGCAACGGTAACCCTTCAGTTGTAATCTAATTATACCTTTCAGTTGTGTCGACAGTGACTCTTCACTTGGTTATCATTTTTCAACAACACTTTTTAAAAAATTTTACTTTTTTATTTTTCGTCTTTTTTTTGTTTTTACTGAATTTTTTTAATATTTTGAGCAATTTTTTTAATTTTTAAACATACCTAACATACATATACCTAAAAAGTAAAAAAAAAAATTTAAAAAAAAACCTTTTAAAAATTCACTAAATACCAAAAATACGAAAAAAAAAATATGAGAATTCAGTACATTTTTTTGTATTTTTATGTATTTATTAATTTTTAAAAATATATTTTCACAAATTTTTTACTTTTTAGATACATCTAAGTAAGGTGCATCTAAAAAAGTTTTAAAAAAATATTTAAAATTTTAAAAATATTCACTAAAAACAAAAAAAAAACACGAAAACCAAAAAACTCAATTTTCAAAAAACTTAATTCAAAAAACTCAAACCAAACACACTGAATGCGGAAAAAAAAACCATGAGTTCACTACAACAAAAAGTGTATTTAGAGACGAAAACTAATGACGAAAATAAATTTTGTCACGAAAGACGTACCTTTTAATGAAGAAAATAATTTTTCGTCTCCAAATGTACCATTTTTAGAGATAAAAGTAAAATTTCGTCACCAATCTGCATACATAATAAAAAGATTAGGTGACGAAATTATTTTTCGTCATTATTTATTTTTTTGTCACTAAAGATTTTCCCGCTAATTTTTCGAATGGCGCCAAAATTTTCAAACTTTTGGTGAGGAAAAAATTGGTCACCAATAATAAAATTATTAATGACGAATATATTTTCGTCACCAATAATTTTTAATATTTTAATATTATTTCGTGAGAAAACTATTTTCGTGGCTAATAATTTTATCTTTTAGTGAGGACATAATTTTGTCACCAAATAAATGGTTGAGTTGCTAAAAGTTTTTAGAGGGAAATGAATATATTAGCGCCTTAGATATATCAGTTCTTCTTCTCACACACAGATTTGACCACCAAACCTCACCCTACATGACCTCACCTCAGCGCACACCACCAACGTCGCTCGCCACCGCCACCCCTACAGCCACGACCACCGCCCGTAGATCACCACCGCCGCATCCTCACAAGTATTCTCTCACTCTCGGTCTGTCTCTCTCTCACTTACAGTCTGTTTTTCGCTTTGCCTACCTCAGTCATTCTCTCTTCCTCTCTGTCCCCCTTTGTCTTCTCTCACGCCTCACGCCTCTGTGTTTCTTCTCTCTTACACCTCACGCCTCTACCCTCCTCTCTGTTATTGAAGCATCACCGCAAGGGTTAGACGAGCACAACGCAAGGGTTAGACGAGCACACCGTAAGGGTTAGCACCACCGTCGCTTTGTCTCGGGTAGGTATGTCCTCTATTTCGCCCTCTTTCTCTTTCTTTCTCTGTGCGTGTGTGTGTGTCTCTCTCTGTCTTCCTCTCCATGTCTTATTCGATTCGCATATACATTCGCACCCAACCCTAACACTACTAGAGAAATGGGTATATGACATGGAACTTTTAGCGACGGTATATTTTCTGTCACAAAAAGTAACCTTTTGTGACGGTTAATATCCTGTCGCTAATGGTCACTTTTTGCGATGGCAATTCCTGTCTCGAAAAGAGAAAATGATATGTTGGATCGTTTTTGCGATGGCAAACCATTAACTGTCGTAAAAGACCTTTTTTTTTAGACTGCTTTCTATCCCCGTCGCAAAAAGATTTTTTTTGCCACGGCCTTTGTTGTCGTGGCTAATGGACCCAAAAAAAAAAACGCTTCTTATTCTTTCTCTCTATCACTCCTGTGTCTCTTTGTCACGCCCTCCTTCTCCTCCGCCCCCCCTCTCTCTTTCTCTCCACCGCCATCGGTACATGAGCACACGACGACCACCGTCATTGATATCACCATTGCAAACCAGCAACCATTCTCTAAAATTGGGGAGACGCAATCGAAGGGGTTTGACATTGAGATCGCTGGCCAAAGTTAGAGGCTAGAATCGACAGAGGCGGCAATTGAGATGCGTAGTAGGGGCGAAATGTAGTGGAGGAATCAAAAACCCTAATTTTATTTCTCTTTTCTCTCTCTCTCTCTCTCTCTCATATATATATTATATATATACGTATGTATAAGCAGCTTCAGATCTCTCTCTTTCTTCAATTCAATTTACAAAACATGATGATTTGCTTTGTTTTGCTTTGATTGCTTTCTCAGAACTCAGAAACAAAAATAGAAAGGGTTTTCTTGACAACTCCATTCAATTCATCTGAAATTCTCGTTTTCTATGAAATAGGGTTGTGGAATTCCCTTCTCAATTGGCTCTGCAGGTAATTTACTCCCTTCTGTTCTAATCTTCCATATTTTTTTTTGTCATTCTTCAAATTGTCTCTCTCTTATTTTCTTGGAAATGTTGTTCATGGTTTATTGGGTTCAACCTGGTCTCACGAGGTTTCTTACATGGCCCTTTAGAGTTACACTTATTCATAACAAACACTACAAAAATTCATAACTTCACCTCAAAAAATTCTCAAGTTTCTTATGATAGTGGACTGTACGTGGTAGTATTTCCTTAAGAAAATTGAACAAAATAGGTTACCAAGAAAAAAAAAAAAAAAACTCTATGGAAGAAATACGATTTGTAAATACAACTACTATTGCAGTATTTTTCTAATATGAATTTTGTGATTGGTTTGAAATGAAAGGATTACAAAAGATTGTCATTATGCATGCAACTGAAAGTGAGAGAATTCAAGTTCAAAGTATTATTTGATTTCCTCTTTTTTTTTTTTTTTAAATTACTCTTTGCTCCATAACCTTTGAAATTGAGATCACTCTGAAATTAAGATTTTATATTCAACTCCACAACATCAGCCCCCAAGCAACAGTGTGGCATTGCAAATATGAGATGGGCTTGTTACCAACAAAACAGAGCACCCACGTGCTAATTGTCGCGCGCGAGCGGGCGGGGAGGGGGAGGGGGAATTGAATAGCTATGCCATGTTGTTAGATAATCTTTGAGAAGCAAATTTAATTAGATCAGTTCCACTAGTACAAAGAATAAATTAGAGTAGCAAAATTCTTTTTGGAAGATTTACGATCAATTTGGTTCACTGTAATGGTTCTCTATTTTGGTGTAATGAGAAGAAATGTGGTATGGAAATACTATGGTTGGTTAGTTCTGTTACATTTTCTTTTATGAATTTCATATTGCCTCCAATCTTAACTAAATTAACCAAATGTATTCACTCTCTGCTTCATATGCAGGAAAAGCTTCGGCAGACTCGTGAATTATATGCCTCCTTTAATGCAATGTTGGAGATAAAAGACTTGATGCTAAAGAAGACTTCTTTGTTAAACTCTATAAACCCACCAATTTGTACTCTATCTTCATCCCTATTTCTAGTTTTGCTAGTTACAATTCTTATAGTCTATCCTAGTCCTACTTAAATCTAAACTTTTATATTTTGAAATATCTCTCCACAATTTTAGCTTAAAGTTTTCTCATTCTCTTGTTTCGTCAACTAAATTTGTATTGTCTGCAAATTTTATACACTGGAGATATTCTCTTTGAATGCTCTTTTTAAGTTCATCCATTACTATGTATGTAAGCATGTTGGAAATACTATATTTGTGATATGATATCTATTAAACTATATGACACAAAATAGGTTTCTTTCAAAATGTTTAATAAGTCTACATTTTGTATGTGTATAGGACATTTTTAAAGAGGTCATTGTCAGACGACAACATTCTTTGTGAAAGCAATTCACCCATTGAAGCCACTGATGTTTGACAAAATGAATATCACAATCAGCCTTTGCCTGATAAGACGCAAGGTCTTTCAGAGTCAACTCTAGAAATCTCAACTTGTGAAAGTGAATTATCTTATTCAAGGTGAGCTTACATCACTTTGTTAAATCTGGTACCTGAAGGAGCTTCTTTATCATTTAACTTTGTTCTCTACAAGTGCAATTGGGCTTTCCCATTATTTGATTTACTGTAGCTAATATAATGGCCAAAATTGACCATCTAATTTACATAATTCTTTGAAGAATAAAGTAGAAAGGCTCTAATAAAAATATAATGTTCCAAAGTCGTCAATTTGTCAAAAAAACCAATTTGGACTAGCCAATTGGACTGGATTGGCTCAGATGTGGAGCTCTTAAAGACCAAATGCCCAGGTGACCATAAAGTTGATGAAATTCAGAAAGTGTAGCTGCACTAAAGCTTTAACTTGCTGGATTCATCATGAGTGGACAAATAATCTACCCAGATGATATGAATGATGAATTTGAAACTGTTAAAGTATCATCTAACAAAAACATGTGGATTTTGATCACCATTTAGAATGTCTTTTGAAAATTGAATGAGTAATTTCAAATACCAAATGAGCTTATCATATATGATAAACACTTGAAGCTTGAATATTGTATTGAATACATCTTATATTTAAAACGTCTCTCTAGTATTGTTTTGCATGCATAGCTTGACTCCTCTTGGAAGCTAAAGTCACTGTTTGTGTGTCAATTAGTGTTGAACATGTGGTGTGGTATGCGATATGATGGCCAATTATATCTCACATTGTACACTTATATAATTTAATAATTACAACTGAGAGGGTAATTTATATGAATAAATTGGGCCGAGATTTGATAATGGGCCGCTTTGGGCCGTAGTAAGAAAGGCGGAGTGAAATGGCTTTTTTCATTAGCTCGGTACAAGAAGGCCTTGTTGTTATCTCGGTCGCCACGGCCAAATTGGTTGACCCGGTCGTAATCTTGAACCGAAGTATACTGAGCCCTCTTCAGGACTTGGTTTTAGGTTAGTTCGGCTTAAACTCTTCTAGGGATAGCTCGGTCTTGGCATGTGAAGCCGAGGTAGGAGAAAAGCAAGGAAGAGCCGAACTAACAGTTAGATCGGTCACTCCAGGTAGTCTAGCATGGCAATGTTATTTCGGTTGTATGGTAGTCCGGCCATGGTAAAACCATCTCACTTGGTTTAAGCAGTGAGGGGGGTGTTGAAGGATAAGCATTATCCTTCAGGAGTATGAATCCTAGGAGGACTCTACATGGAGGAGTATGAGTCCTACTTGGATTGTGCTACACGGAACCTATAAAAGCTCACCAATATCACCTATGGAGAGGTAACACACAACTTTGATACACAGAGCTTTTTGTCTTTGTCTATTTTTCTTAGGCATCGGAGGGGTTTCCGGCACACACCCGCTGACTAGCGCACGTTTGTGTTTTCAGGGAGTAAAGCGACGACGTTTGGAGAAGCGCAGACTTGATCAAAAGGATTATACGAGAAGGTTTATTTCTTTCCCGTACAATTGGCGCCGTCTGTAGGAATTCAGACAAGAACAAAACCTCTTGATCAAGCTTTTCCTCTTTAGAAGTAATGGCACACAACGAAGATTTGTCGCAGTCTGCCATCGACGGACAAACACCAGAGGGGGGTGCAAGACACGAAGGCCTACCTTCTATCCCTCCCATGGCGGACTTAGAGCCACAGCGACAAAATCCCAGGAGGGATACAAGGGGGAGGAGGTGGACTAACAGCCCCCGTCACTCTCGTTCACGAAGTCCTAACAGACAAAGGCGGAGGATTGATCCTCAAGTTCTGGAGGACCGCGTGAAGGAGGAAGATGAATTAATAAGGAAGATGACGGCAAACATGGAGGCCTTGAAGAGCCAGATGAAGGGAAAAGGAGTGGCGACAGGAGAGGGGCGTAAAAACAAAACGCCCCATCGCCACTCAGAAGACCGTGGAAGGCATTCCACACCATCACAAGCAGAGAGTAGAAGCCTCAGGACAGGCGATACTCAATCCAGAACCTCCAGAACTCGTTACTCTAGGTCTGAGAGAACGAGATCATTGAGGTCTTACACTGAGGGAAGTACCTATCGACCCTCGCGCTCGCACCAGACATCATCCAGGCAGACGGAGTTGCCAAGATCATCCGATTTGCGGATCATGCTGGAAGAAAAGGCACGATGGAAGGAGGATACTAGGGCACGCAACCCTCGCAGGGTATCTGCCCTTCAACGGTTGGCTCCTCGAACGCATGGAAGCGTCGAGGTCGGAATGCCGTTAGCACACTCTGCCTACGAACCAACGGACAAAGCATTAGCAAGGCTGCAGACCTCACCGTTTGTCCCGGCAATTGAAAACGCACCCCTACCTTCAGGCTTCCTTCAGCCAAAATTCACCACGTACGAAGGGAAGACGGACCCTTACATACACCTAAGCCACTTCCGCCAATTCCATTTCACAGAGTTCTCCAATTTTGCATACCAGGTTGCAGCTATCCCAGACAGGGTTCGGCCGAATAGTGACAATTTCTGGGTTGTGGTCAAACCCATTGGCCTCAAGATATCATAAAACAGTTGGAGGTGCACCATTGGGTCTTCAGAGCCATCAAATCGATCGATATGCGGCATTTTAAACTGCTCCGGCAAGGTCACCACTGAGTCGGTATAACCATCCTCTATATCAGGAATAGAGCGGGCCCCCTGAGACTTTTTGAACAATTTCTCAAGCTTGCTCACTTTTAATGCTGTGGGGTCCGTCTCAAACTCAAAGGGGGAGTCTGGTAGGTTGGTGGGTGTTTTAAACAGCTGGGGTAGCACCGGGGGCCGAGCTGGCCTGCCTGGAATGTCCGTATCATCCTGGACGTGGGTTGCCTCCCCGAGTATGGGAACTCTTGGTGGGGGAGGAGCCTGGTGTGAAGTAGATACTCCAGTTTGCTGTTCTAACCTGGAAATTGTCTCTGCCTGTTGGGCTATGACCACAGCCTGTTGCTTGGTGAATTCCGCTTGACGGACAGCATCTTGCTGCATGGCTTTCATACTATCCTGGAGTTGGCGCACCATCTCTTCCAGACCCGACATATTGCCCTGATCTAACTGAGCAACTGGTATACCTGTGTCTGCAGTAGGCTCAGAAATCTCAACCTGGCTGTTCAAAGACCACTGAGCTGGTAGCTGCTGTACTGGTGGTCTGTGCCTGACCGGCCTTATCACCCTGCTTCTGGTAAAGGAACACTGATTGCCCTTGAACTGAATCTCTAACCCAATAAAGTCTATCAACACAAGTTCGGTGTATCCGGGGAATATTGGGGCCTTCTAAAGCTATGGCTCCAAGACTACCTAGCAAAAGGGAAAACATGCAGCATCCCAGCCTGATTTCACCTGAACAGATATAAGCCTAGTTGAATGAGTGTGCTCTCTACTGAATTTTGCCCCCAAAATTCTGCCTCAAATCTGATACCCTCGGGTAAAACTGATTCCCAGATACTGATGCCCGCAGGCCTGATGCCCAAACTTGTAGACTGATACATGCATTCCTATAGAGACGCACTCTAAAAGCACATAACAAGCAAGTGAGAGCCAAAACACCCAAATGTTGGGGTAGGGTTTCCCTGTCCTATTTTGTCAGGAGTTAGGGTTTCATTACGCACGCAGCGGTTTCAAACAACCTATAAACGGGTAAGCAACCTGTCCTAGTTTGGAATGGTCACTATGGATCCGAATATGCACTACCGGTAAAACCGGAGTTTGTGTTCCCATACTGGCAGAGCCCACAACCGATCAGCCTTATGGTCATGCCTTGAAAAGACAAGCCTCCGGCAAACCGTTCAAGAATAACAGATGGCAAACACGGTGTCCTAGGCGCACCAATGCACATGCAATGCAAAGAAACACACAAGTGTAATCAAAAACAGATATCATGAGTTCGAGTCAAGTCCTCTAAATCCCCAGCAGAGTCGCCAGAAACTGTAGACGTCTCCCCGAACGCCCGGGGAGGAACGAGCTCCCGTTCCGTTCATTTGGGGTCACTACAGCTCAGGACTCTCAAATTGTCACGGTTCTAAGTCTGAATCAAAGAGTCCAAATCTGGCAAATCGTTTTGAGAAAATAGATTTTTTTTAGAAAAGAAGTGCCAAACATGGATTGCTCTGCCAGATACAGAGTCGCCACCTAAATATTTTATTTTGGGGAAATTTAGGAAACCCTGACTCGTTTGCCTAAGGCCACGTGTCCGTCATCACCAAAGTTGCCTCGGCTCAGGAACTTGGGTACGATTGGGGAAGGTCACTTCGTGAGCACCCCCGCTCGCCCGATCAAAGATTGGCCTCGTATTGACCTAAGCTTTTCAAAACTTTTTCTAACACTGCGGTGAAAACAAAGGGGAAGGAATTCCTCGGGATTTGCAAAACTTTGATCAAATTGAGAGAAAGAGAGGCA